TCCACCGCTTCGGCGATGGAGTCTTGCACAACACTGCCTTGAAGCATCGAGCTGAGTTTGCCTTTGCTCAGCTTGATAACGAGAGATCTCTGACATCTCTTCGTGACGAGCTAAGGGTAGCTCGTGGGATTGTTGATCGGTCTCGGGATGAGATAACTGCTCTTCAGACCCTTGTTGATGCCCACCATCGGGAGCACAAGGCTCTCTGCGAGATGCTTGAGCGCAAGGGCGTTCTTCATCGGAAGAAGCAGCGTACTGATGGTACGGCTTAAGCCGACCAACGTAAAACGTGGGATGCGTTCGCATCTTACGTGGCAACTCGATCGTGTATGCATTGCCTAGGCAGTGCAATACACGAAATGGGCCGATGTACTTGGGTAGTAGTTTACTGCTACCCAAGTTAGTCACTACATGCTTTGGTAATATATTACGACCGTAGACAGTAGGACTAAGTCACCTTTATTAAATAAAAGAGTGGTTTGCCCTTCCATTCTTGTCAGCGTTTTGCTTTTGCTCATCCACCGCTTCGGCGATGGAGTCTTGCACAAAACGGACTACCGTTTCACGAGCCAGTACGAACTCATCTGATGACTCGTTCGATTCAGTGTGCTGTGAGCGCACTGCAGCAACGACAGCCTTTTCTTCAGTGAGGGCTTCCGCACTCTCACCGGGATCATTGTCTTTAGTGAGGCTTCCGCACTCTCACTGGCATCATCTTCTTCGATATCGATGTTATCGATATCGGCATCAAACGCAATGACCTCTTCGTCAGAGCGTGAAGAGCGTGAACCAAATCGGTTTTTGCTCGGCGCGAGTCTCTCCCCCCCTTAAACCAGAGTTACACTCTAGTAAGGTGGGTACACGCGGATGGCGTAAGCCATTCACGTAAAACGGTGTATGTGTCGTGGACGCATGCACCAAGTTGTTGATGGCAAACTCTACCATTGGCAAGAACTCACTCCAACTCTCAAAGGAGTGTACGTATCCTCGACGTATCTCTTCGAGGACACGATTGGCACGTTCCGTCTGACCATCTGACTCTGTATGATCAGATATCGACATCTTCAAGCGCGTTCCGAGTGATTTGAACACGGAGCGCCAGAATTCAGCAGTGAATCGTGGATCTCTGTCTGATACGAGTTCACGGGACAACCCATGAAGTCGGAAGATGGTGTCGATAAAGACATAAGCACAGCCACTTACCGTGATTGACTCCCGTACAGCCACAAGGTGTACCATTTTGCTGAATCTGTCAACAAATACAAGAATACCCGTATTCTTGCGTGCGTCTTTGGGTAACCCGAAGAAAAAATCTATTGAGGTGGATTCCCAGCACTCTGCCAGAACTGGTAAAGGCTGCAAAGGTGCACGCAGTGAAGGACTTAACTTCACTCGTTGACAGACTTCGCATGCGCGAACATACGTTCGCACAAACTGATACTGGCGGGGCCAGTAAAAGTCTCGACTCACCGTGATATATTTTTTCTTGCGGCCACGATGTCCTCCTATAGGAGCATCGTAATACTCGAACATGATCCGCAAACGTAGATCAGTATCATCTGGAATGACAACACGTGGTGTGTCACCAGAAACGGCTGTATAATACAGTAAACCGTTACGAGTAGTGTATCGATCTGATGCAGATCGATACGCAGGCGACAATCGTTTCAACGATTCTCGGGATGGTTGGGAGAGATGTGATAACAACTTCACTATCTCACCATCTTGGGCGTGTGCCCGCCTCACATCATCATACAACATTGTAGATGGAACTGAGGACGTCATAACCGCAACAGTGACTGTCTCACTGTTGGGTTTCGCGACTGTTTCAAAGTCGGGACGACGTGAGAGTGCATCAGCGACGACATTAAGTCGTCCTGGTTTGTACTCGACCGTAAAGTTGTATTCTGCAAAGAATGACAACCACCGCGCCATTCGTTGTGAGAGGTGCGGGCTGTTCACTGCCGTGCGTAATGACGCATGGTCAGTGTAAACAACGAAGGGTCTATCTCCTAATAGATAGACTCTGAACTTCGCGAGTGCATACTTCATGGCAAAGAGTTCCTTGTCATGCACTGGATAGTTCCGCTCAGCTGGTTGCAGCTGACGCGACTGATAGCAGACGACGCGTTCAACGCCTTCAAGATCGTACTGCATTAATGCACAGCCGATTGCGAAATCGCTGGCATCACAGACCACATGAAATGGCCTGTCCTGATCGGCTATTGCTAGGACTGGGGATTGTATCAAACTCTGCTTGATACCATCAAAGGAGCGCTGACATTCAGCGTCCCATAACCACCTCTCGTTCTTTTTCAACAAACGAGAGAGGTGCACAGTCATCTCGGCGTAATTGCGTGAATACTTATGCAAATACGCCGCTAGCCCAGGGAATTTTCGAAGACCTTTGACATCGACCGGCACAGGCCAGTCGGTGATCGCCTTGATCTTTTCGGGATCAGGACGTACACCGTTCTTACCAACGATGCACCCAAGAAGTGGTATTTCGCTTGCTGCAAATATACACTTCTTGAGGTTAGCATACAATTGATGCTTTCGCATGATTGTAAGAACTTGTCGGACGTGGTACCTGTGAACCTCAACATCCGACTTTCCATCCATAGCTCGACTATGGATGAATACGTCATCGAAATAACTCGGCGCGAATTCTCGTACTGGCCTCAACAGATGTGATACACATCTGTTGAACGTGGCAGGGGCATTACTGAGCCCTTGTGGCATTACTAGCCATTCCCAGAGCATGCCGCTGGGCGTGCTCACTGCGGTATAGGATATATCCCGTTCCCGCATCAGGATTTGATAGAAGCCATCCATCAAATCCATGGACGAAAAGATGGTACTCTTTGACATACCATCAATGATTACGTCCTTCCTTGGTATCGGCGTTTGAGCCGGTACCGTTGCAGCACTCAACTTGTTGAACGCGTGCACTATCCGCCACCCTCCTGTTGCTTTTAGCACACAGAAGGTCGAATAGCTATGTGGGGAAGTTGATTCCCTCACATGGCCCGCTGCTAAACGATCGGCAAAGAACTTGTCGATCGCAAGTACTTGTTCACGAGGCAGTGGCCACTGCTTCATGACACAGTACTTCGAGCCTGGTTTAAGCTCGACTTCGTGTCGAATACCTTTATCCTTCGGTAATTCGCACGGAACAGTTTCAGGGAATACATCCTTGAATTCAACCAAATCTTCATAGATAGGATTTGTCTTGAGCGATTCCCATGATTGGGACTCATATCGCTCAATTCGTGTCTTTTCATCTAGGACACTCTCGTCCATAGATGAACTACCGAGAACTCTCTCGTTCTGATTAACACTGTTGCTGACCTTATGTCGGTTACACACTCGTCGTCAGCGACGAGTATGCAGATCTGCTTGACTTTGCCACTACGCAGATCACGCAAGAACCTTTTATGTTCGAGCGTTGGCAACTGAGTGATCTCCGAAGTTAACTTCGGAGGCGCAATCAGATCAAGTGTATAAGCGCCTACACATGATCCGTTATTGACTATGACATTCAATATCTCTGTCATTTCCTGGGGACTTATTCCCTCAGGCTTCGAAGGACTTATTCCTTCGTCTTCCCGGGGACTTATTCCCGCGGGTTTCGGGGAACTTATTTCCGCCGTATTTGTAATCTTGGGACTTATTCCCTTTACTTCCTCTAGCTGTGGTTGCGCAACCACAGCGAGATCCTCTACGAAAGACTCTCCAGTCGATCTAGGATTATCGTTTCGCTTAACCTGAGCGATCGATTGTTTCTCTTCTAGATGTTCCTCTCTAGGGATACATCTTTGTCCCGGTCCACCCGACTTATTCGAGTGGTGGACCTTCGGCGCAGCCTGTGTTTCCTCACAGCCGCCGGAACTTTGCTCCGAAGTGTAATCGTTTGGTACACTAAGGTTTTGTGCAGTCGTACTAACGACCGTGCCACAAGTGAGGCCATCGCACTCACTCGTAGTACATCCACACGCTTGTGGACGCTCCAAAACGTTCATCAGATGGCCATCTGATGAACAAGCGGCAGGCATCGTTACTGTCCGATGTTGCCAGTTTACCCGTGGTTCGTACCTTCTGAGCCACGGTATTCCAAGGATGACATCAAATTTGTCATCCAAATCCAATACGATAAAGTCATCATCATATTGGGTATCTTCCAGCGTATAGTGGATCTTCACTATACGCTTCATGGCGGCTACGGATGCGCCTGTCGCAAGACGTACCTTCATCCTCGTGGGAGGTGTGTCACATTCACTGAACTTAAAATGACCATCTTCTAGCGATTGGCGTCGCACAAAATTGCTGGGCGCCCCACAATCGACTAGAGCTCGAAGGGACAACTTATTCGTCACTTCGAGTTTCAAGGTAATGAGTGAGATCTCATTACCTAGAGTAGCAACACACAACAATTGTGTGTTGGGAGCAACCTTCATCAAGAGGCCTACAAATTCTCTTGACGTTGCTGGATCAGTAGGGTGCTCCGCACCTATTGATCCTGTCCGTTTTTTGACGGTCCATCCCGTTGTTGCGTCTTTGCACCAACAGCGGACCCTCGTCCCTGCCCCTTTCTCATGGGTGGACGGTCACTACGCCCAGTGTTGCGACACTGGACGAGGGGCACTACACTCTTAAGCGTAGTGTCCTGTCTTTTGACATCTGTTGCATCTCTGCAACTTCTTGTAGCCTGTAGAGCGAGCCTTCTCGCTCTCTACATAACAGAGTTCCATCGGCTCTGGACCTCCGTTGTCATATCGTCTCGGTTGACGATATGATGTCGAGCTGGCGCGAGCCTGTCTCAGACTGAAGTCTTCCTGCTCCGCAATGGATATGGCTTGTTCTAGTGAATCTAGTTCAAGTCGGAACAGGTGAGTCTTGACGGGACCATCCACAAGACCCTGCATGAACACCGAAACCAACGTGTGTTCATCTACCGGATTGGAGCTTATACAACTCGTGAGATGTCGTATATGTTGGGCTTAAGCGTGCACATCACGCTTACCTTGTTTGAGCTTCAAGAGTTTAGTTCGAGCTCTGAACTCAGCTCCAGGCGGTTCAAACGTTTTTCTGAGCCGCGACTTGAAGACTTCTAACGACCCAAACGCATATGGGTCGTGCAACTTGAGTCCCAGTGCCCAAGTCTTGGCATGTCCTGCCAGATTTGACGGGGCAAATGCAACTTGCATATCCCCGTCGTCGATGCGACGCGCCCTTATGGCGTCGTCTAATTCGACGAACCATCTCAAGAGGGAGTCCTCTTCGACTCCCCTATACTTGGAGATGTCAATCTTCAAAGTCTCGGGTCGACACGAGTGCATCGACCCACCAGCAGCAGCCTGCTGCTGTCTCAACAGTTCAAACCGTTGATCACCCTGTTTTCTCAACAACTCTGCTTGTTGAGAACCTTGTTGGTGAAGCAAGGCTACTTTGTCGCGTTCAGCGTCAAGTTCATTTTGAATGAACTTGGCGATAGTAGCATGTTGGGCATCTCTATTGAGAGCCTCTAGCATGACGCTAACAGCATGGATGTCCATGGTCGAACCCATTCGTTCAACCGCATCCCATTCGACATCGCTCAAATGGGAGTAGCCGTCACGCGTAGCGTGAAAGCTTTGGTCATCTTCATCATCCAACATATTCATGTTGGATGTGAACGCGGTCCTTGGACGGACTACGAAGTGCTACCAGGTGTAACGGGGCACCCTGAAGCTTGTACTGGTGACAGTACAAGCTACTTATTCTGATGACAGAATAAGGCGGTGCCTCGGAAGTTCACGTACACTCGTACGTGCAGAGGAAGACGGTAAGAAGAAGCGAGTACTTGGTTAAAGTAAAAAGTAGAACCGCATTTACAATGGTTAATGTCTGCAATAAATCACTATTTATCTTCATCTAACTATGTATAAATACAAATGTGTAAATCAACAATCTGCTCACCACTCATTGCGTGCGTCTGTCGTGGCGCGTCTTCGTTGGTTGATACAATGGCCTATATCAACCAATTAGGAACTACTTGTAAGTGTTACAGAATATTTGTCCTCATGACAAAATTCTAAGAATACAACTTTTGTAGTTATATTCTATGAACAATT